CTCATTGTAGATTAATTAGGTAATTTTGGGGAATACAACAAATAGCATATCTGTGAAAATGCTGTGGCCTATTGTGCAGCTAGTGTTTAACTAAAAGTAACAGTTAGTGAAAAGCTGCTATGGGGATATATCCTGTATTTTCAAACCTTTTGTCTGTGTGTTAAGGCCTCTCGTCGTTGCTCAGCTGTTTTCTCCTGATATCTCCTGATGTCCTGTAGAGCACATGAGGCTGAACCTCCTGTACTGGTCTCAGGCACGAGGAGGAGGAAGGGATCTGCATGGTGTCTTCCTTCTTGGCATGTGATAAAAAAATAAAATGTAAAATGTGATTTAGTTTCTTTTCTTCCTGACCACAGCTAGTGAATTTGTTTATATTTTATATCAGATGTCTGACCACCCAGAGAAATCATTCCCGACAAACTGTGGGAGGATGTGAGTCTGTAATCACACTAGTTTGAAATCAAAACTGTTTAAAGGCCATGGGAATGGTCACATTTATGGATATTGAATACTTACAAAAAATATTCAATCCTCAATTTTGGCCTTAAAAACTATATCTTTATACATTTTGAGAGCCATTTACAGAGCTGCTAGGCTGTGGTATGTACACAATGTGTTTGCCCTCTGCTGGCAAATAAATTACCCATAAATATGATTTACATGTAAAATATACTCATTCATTATGCCTAGAAAAGTCAGAAAAACACATATCTCTTGCTGTGAAATACCAAGATGAACATAGAGTATTACATGTGAGAAACTTTTGGACTGACGTTTGGCGAAAGAAAACGTGATCTGTTCATCTGGACAATACTTTGCTGAATGACATGATTATATGATTGTACAGTTTCTTTTAGAGCCTACAATACGGCATCAGTTGATGCTCCACAAGTAGCTCTGCACCATGGGACTGCACAAAATCTGAAGTCCATATGAACAACTAAAGTAATTCAGAGTAGTCCTCCTTCTGTTTTTACTGAGGCTGGATGAAGCTTACATCCATCACGCAAATTTTGTGCCAAATTAAACTGTGCACCAGGATAAACACCGTCATTCTCCCTACAGCTGTGTACTATGCTATCAAAATGTAAAATATGAGAATTATCCTCTATATATTGAGGCAGCTATTCTACTGCTGGGAATCACAAGATAACTCATTGTAAATTCATGTGACAACATTTTGCCCACAATATCATAGTGCTACACAAGTGATTCAGCAAAATGAAACACAGTCATCATCAATGAAGCATCACAAAATTGTCTGTGTAACGGAAGCAATAAATAAAACTAGAAATTTAAAAAGCACAAATTATAGTAGTATAGTTCATTAACAGCTGTCAATTTTACAGATAAGTGTGCTCCAAATTGCACAGATTGTAGCCCTTTAACATGTTTACCCCCCAGCATTTAAATGTGTACCTATAAACTTGTATAAAGCTGCAATGATAGAAATAAATCAAAGTCCAAATGCTGCAGTACAGACAGCATATATCACATTTTAGATATTTTTATATGTACAGTACATTTGATACAGCCACCAGCACCAGGCCTTGGGGATTGACTGTCTTACTGAACATAACCAATATTTAATGTGTTTATAAGTTGTGACTTACTTGTCGTTATGGAACACACGAACACAAATGTTAATATAACATTTATATTTGATATCATACATATTTACAAAAACACATCCATGTTTGTATTTGAATTATATTTTACATAAGGCACATGCAAAAAAAAAAAAAAAAAATTGCTCGGCCTCAAAGTATATTTGAAGCAAAATGTTTCCACAACCGATAGCAGCAAAGACTTCCATTTTAATGGAAAGCAGAAAAACAATAAGGGGTCCTTTTCTTGAGTCATGCTTTTTATGTTACATCAATGATGAACCTGCCGAGTAGATTTATATGCAACAGTGTCTACCTACCACCTTGACATGACTGATAAACAAAAGTTAGGAGAGGGGTTTGTGCCACTATAGTTGCCAGATCCGATATCTGAAAACAACTGTAAAGGTGGTTATAAAGGATGAACGGATAATGGTGATTGGGAAAGTTAGATGAGAGACAATCAAACCATTACTGGGTAAAAAAAAAACGAGTGTCATCAACTGCAGAGAAGCTGCAATTCAGTGGAGTTATAACTCAAAGCGGGCGCTGCCACCTCTGTCCCACCCAGAGCGTCTTGTCCTCTAATCTTCATGTTGACAAACTTTATCTTCCAGCTGTTGTTCTCCAGGGGGGAGCGGATGAGGCCAAATATCTGCTCAAAGATGCCCAGACAGGCTCCGTCTCTGTGGATGGTCCCAGCTACAGCCACCAATACCAAGCCATGGGGTGAGGCGAGGACCTTGAGGCCAAGAGGGTCCAGGTTGGGGCTGAGGAGGAGGTGCTCGTCCCTCGTCAAGGCCAGGAGACGAAGGTTAACCAGCTCAGCACCCAGGAACTCCTCCATCTGTTCGCTGCCAGCTCTGAGAAAGAGAGACGCGGATCTGTCATCACGGCATAGTTTTGGGGTTATTTTCCCCCCAAGTTAATTGTAACTATTGTAAAACACAGGTCAATTTCTCACTTTAACTTCAGTTACTGTTAATGGCATCCTTACCTGGAGACAAGGCGTAGCTTCACATCTGGCCAGAAGTGTTGAGGCCCCCAGTCCTGAGGCTGCTGGCCCAGCGAGGGATTCTGACTGTTTAGGAGTTGGAAGAACCACTGGCAGAACTGCTGGCCGAGGGCTTGTGGGTCAAAGCCAACCTCGACCTTCATGTTTGTGGAATCAGATGCTATCTTTGTTGACGATCTCTGTCTGGTCTCATCCGTGTCTCCTAGAAGGCTTTCGTCAACCCCAGCCTTAAAAGAATGAGATGTTTTCAGTTGTTCAACAAGTCATAATGTTATCTCCTCCTCCATAGAGAAAGTCTCTTGACTAGTAAAGTAGCAATAGCTGGCACTTCAATATGAGTTTAAAGACATAAATGCTGTTAACATATTAAAACCAAAACTTAGAGAATCTTTTAAATAATCCTTAAAGTTCTGGGAAAGCTTAAAAATGTACATTCAGAAAAACATTGAGGTGTTATGGAGGAGTCATCAAAACAATCGTATTAACATGTTGTATATAATAACATATTATTGTATGTACATATCAACACTTTTTAAATTTACCTAAAAACTGTTCACTAGGCAACTCCAACTCGTATCAGGATGTATTATAATCGTCCAAACTCAGGTAAAGCTATTCTTTCCCAGGCTAATCACCTACATTATCAGGTGAAATGATCTTTCCAATTACCCTGAGCTACAACTCTCAAGTCAACAGATTCTCAGCCAACATGAACTGGACGTTATCTTTCTTGTCCACCTTGTTAGTGATGCTATTGGCAGATTTAAGCATCCTTTTTTTTCTCACTATTTCAACGGTAACAATGTCTTGACATTTATGCTTTGAACGCCATTAATAAGCCCACCAAACTATATCACACTTGATTTAAGGAATTGTGGATTTCACATTACTTCAAGCAACCTTCAAGTTCTCTTCTTCTACTCAAGGTACAAAGTTCATTTCTTTAGCATTTTACAACACAGGGGTTGGACGTGTCCCCTTTATGCTTCTCATAAAAGACAAAAAAAAATTATAAACAGTAAATAATAAGTGATAAAAAGAATGAGGATGATTTTAAGTGTCACACAACCAGAGTAAAGAAGTTATTCTGAAGTCTGGTGGTACTAAAAGTGTCTCTCTAATGTTACTGCCCATCTACTCCTAGCTCACCCTCTCACCTGGCTGAGCTGACTTCCTGTCCTTACCTTCCTCGACGACCATAGCTCCAGCGTCTTCCTCACCAGCTGGTGTTTCTCACTGCTCGGGGGCATCGCCACACCTTCTTTAGCCAGGTACTTGAATATGAGGTCGCGATAAACCTTCTTCCTTTTCAGGAGCTCCTCGGCGTTTTTTGTGAAGGAAAGTATTGTTTCCGTAGCCTCTAGATTAAAAGATAAACACAACGTATAATTTGAGCACCTTTTTTTAAATTCATTATGTTGTTATTGTTAATAATACGTAATAAATAAGCATTGTTGTGTAACGTTGTCTCCTTTACTTTCTGAAGACTTCCACGTCTGTTCGGTGTGACAAAACGAGGTTGGCGTACATTTTTAATACCCGCTCATACAAACGTTTAACTCACGCAATGTGGATAATATTTATGTGTTTTAATATTATTAATGTAAATAAAACGTGTGTCGACGATGAGAGTGGTATCCTAGCCAACGTCCTCTCTCGTTACCTGGTGTTCTGTTACCTGTAACGTTTTCCACAACTATCAGTTTATTCGTCACCGTGTCGCTAAGTGAGAGTAAGTCGCCTTTTGACATTAACTGCAGTATCTTTATGCATCCAGCGCGCTCTCTTTCTGACAGTCCCGACATCTTCGACGCCGCAGAAACAATAAATAGCTAAGCTTCACTTCCGTTATTTGTGTCCTGCTGGAAAAGTGTCCGTACCGGAACAAGTATGAGCAGGAAAAACGTTCCTGCTCAAAGCGACGGTTGCTACCGTTAGTTGCTACTGTAAAACAGGGCCCGTGTGGCCTTCATGGCTGTAGGAATCATTGATGTTTCAAATTGAAAAAGGTTAAAAACAACCCTAACTAATGAATGGTACAAACTAATACTACGACTACTTCTACTACTACTACTACTACTACTACTACTACTAATAATAATAATAATAATAATAATAATAATAATAATACATTTAAGATAATTAAAGTTAATTGGTTTTCTAAATCTCTATTTTATTGGCCAAATAATATGTAAAGTAGGCAGCTGCAGGCCTGTCCCCTGTTGCTGTAGAAACATACAATGTGGTTTATAATGGTAATTGAGATTATGGGGTATTATGTTATAACGTTACCACTGACAGTGTGTTACACTCAGCAACGCTAGAATGTGTAGTTTACGAGGAGCACCTGAAGGCATCATATGACAAGCTCGCTAGCTCAACGCTGCTAATATAAGCTAGCCTGCGCAGTGATGAGGTACAGTCGGTCCAGCTGTGTAAGACAAGCGACCTCTCAGCTGGCGTTACTCACAACGGATTAACTAATATGTTTTAATCAACAGGACTAAGGAGCCATTAAAGCAAGTTGAAATTACAGTCGCTGAAAGGTAAGTTAACGTACCGTTGTTATCATTTGCTACTATGTTCACATTAACGTTAGCTCGTTAACGCCAGTTCATAATTCCTAAATTAAATAGTGTTTAATATCGTTAGTGTTACTCATAAGTCACTAAAAGGGTTGTGTAGTGATTTCATTATTGCTAGTTTACTTGTGTTCAGTTATAGATACAAACATATTCTTCGTTAAAATCCGTGAAATACAACTTTAATATTAATTTAAGTTAACGTTAATATAGCCTGTGTTGTTGATAACGGTATACAACCCTAAAACAATAAGTGTCATTCTACAATTGGGGACTCATTTTTGGAGGAAGTTATCAAACAGGGGTATGTGGTATTAGAGTTGCACTTACTTTAGCGCAGTATTAAATCAGTTGTATATTTTTGTTGCAAAGTCACTGCCCTTGATTTAGAAATCGAGACAAAACCTGGGACCTTAACCTAATTTTACAAGAGGTGTGGTTTAATCTAGTTCTTGCTAAGACAAGACTAATATTGACTGACTGCTGGCATTAAGTTGTGCCAGAATTATTGAGAAACTGTGTCATTGGCTAACTTCATACAAAACCAGTCACTAACATGTATCATAGTTGAAATACACATCACACTGGCCTGCTTTCAACAGGAGAAAATGTTCAGAAATGAGCTGGGAGGAAATTGCTCCAATTATTTCCCAATTCAGCCAAAAGTAGCTTCCTCATAATCACCTCTCTAGAAGTTATAAAGGATTGTGAGATTACTGGTTTAAACCTCTCGTGAGGCCAGGAGGACATCACTCTAAACTACGATTTAGATATCATTGAAAGTACACAAAGTTGAGGAAAGCGATTTCATTCCTTCACTTTGCAAAAGCATTTGAAGAACTGTCTCCTTCCTCAAGGAACCCAAAACACAAATAAACCAAACCCACAACCGTTGCACATACTGGAATGAGTTAATCTCACTCAACGGTAAATGGTTAATGGTTAATAGTTTCACCATTTTGTGTGTGTGTGTGTGTGTGTGTGTGTGTGAGAGAAACAACTTCTCTTTCAGGAAGTATATAGAAATAAACCGTCATTTTTAAACTAGCTCTCCTCTCCTCTAATCTCCCCTCTAAATGTTGAAAAAGAGAAATGTTATTTGTGTTTGTGAAGTAATCTCAAATGTATGCACAAATACACAACACATACACTATGCACTTACACATCTACACTGATAGTTTACACATGAAGAACAAAGCTTTATAATACTTTCTCAAAGAGATCAACATGTTAAATCGCCTGCTGTTAACCCATAAAAAGAGCAATAGTTTAAGGCTTCATTCAGGCCAATAGACTTCATGTTTAATTATGGTCTTGACATAGTTAAGATATGTTGGGCAAAGCACCTACTGTGTAATCCCCATTTGCTCAGTAGGCAGCAGAAAGAGGAAAAAAAAGGGCTGAAATGTTTTCTTTTGTGGAAGTGTGTACACATGTAAAACAGAACGTTGGAAAAGTGCGGTGCTCTTCAGCCAATTATCTCTGGACAGCTGAAGCTTAAAACTCTTTGCTCTCTTATCTTTCCATTATTGCTGCAGATGGGGGAGTTTGAGAGCAGTCCTATGGGCCGAGTAACGGTGTACTCCATCCAGGGCTGCCCACACTGTGTGCAGGCTAAGGCCACCCTGGGGCGTCTGGGAGTACCAGTATGTGACGTGGATGTGGGGAGGCATCCAGAACTAAGAGCCAGGGTGAAGGAGCTGACAGGACGCAGCACAGTCCCTCAGATCTTCTTCAACAACATTCATGTCGGGGGCAATGATGACCTACAGAAATTGGTGAGGAGGAGTGAAAACACCCCAAAAAAATCCAAATTGCATCTACTGTTATTATTGTTGTGTTTTAAACTTGTATGTACGTGTTGATCTGTTTCACTCCCTCAGGCTCCTGAGGAGCTTCAGAGGTTGGTGAATCTGGTCAAGGAAGAGCCTCTTCCAGCAGACGCTCCCCCACTACCAGAGGAGAACCAATCAGAAGACAGCACGGCAGGGGAGACTGATGGAGGTGAGAGTTTTTGCTTTTTCCAGATCACCTTTGCTACCACAGCATGTAGGAACAGCCAATTATATTACAGAAGTGAAATGTGGTGCATAAAATCCTGTTGTCCATAATGCCTTGACTTGTTCTTAGTGCACAGTCTGTGGTGTGTTTAACTATTGTACAGTGTTTTCTGTCCTTAGGGTGGATTAATTGCTTAATGTTGGTGGATTAGTTTGAAAACAAGATCAATTTCAGATTGTTTTGCTCAGAAATGGGTTATCAAAGAGTGAAATTAACCACACTGAGTAACTAACACTAACTTCTTTATTGCGAGGGATTGATTCTGATGAGCTATAGTTTACAACTAGTGTTGGCATATATAGACATGATGGGTAACAGCAGGTGTGTGTGTGTTTTTACTCATCACCTGCTAATATTGGATACTCTGGATACTCTGGATGAGCCCAGCAGCACCAGGCTGTCTCACAGTACCTCATTATAGTTGATTATTAAGCTCCCTACAGTGTAAACAACATCAGTCCAAAGGGGCGGTTTACACAGCCTTTTGTGGAGAAATATTTTAATACAGTGTTAGCTAGCTTTGGATAGACACTACATTGGATAGTATTCCAGCAATACCGGTCAGCTTTGGCTGCTATGAGGTGTGTATAGCCCAGCACTGATGTGGTGATAAACGAACAACTCATGTTGTCGGGCCATGAATAATCTAATATAAATGACCCACTTGGATTTAATGCTGTTTTGTCTGGGGATTTTGGATGGATGGACAACATTGTTTTATCTTTGACATCCCTCAAACATGTTAAAATGGGAACAACATAATGTCATTCTGTTCATTTGTGCTCATGGATTATTAATATGAGAAGACAGTTATTTGTGTAATACCTGCTGGGCTCCTTATGGCTAACTAGTTGCATGTAGAAAATGTTTTCTATAATACCTTTTATGGACTTAAAACAGGTTAAACTGTCCTCACATGTACAGTAAGCAAGTTGCCATGTTGGTTCTTTCTGAAAAATGTAAAAAAAAAAAAGTCATGCTGAATAGGAAGAAGTTATGACGCGCTTCCTTTTCCACCAGCCAGATATGTTTTTTTTTCCACACATGCTGCTGGACTGCATAGCTCCACATATTATTACACACATATGTGTGTGAACATGTGCATTTATGTGTGTTTTGTACATGTGTGGCTTGGCATATTCCTGCCCTCACAGAGTTTAAGTGTGAGAGAGATGAGTTGGCGGACCTGGTAGAGGACTTCAAACATGGCACTGTGATTGGCAGTCATAGAAGGGGACTGACATTATACAAAAAGAGCTTCTCAGGTGATCAACTGGTTGACTGGCTGCATAAAGAGAAGGGCATGGGTAAGTAAGGCTGTAGACCTGCAGTAAAACAGGCTTTCGGTGTTGTGTCAGTTTGATTTTTTTTTAGAAGTTTTTAGAACAATCTGGAAACTTGTTAAACTATCTCAGAGTGCCCTGATTCATACAAAGAAAGTTTAGTGAAATACCGATCTGTCAACCCCTGACTGTGGCCATGTGTATGCCAGCCAGGGCTGAGGCCTGTAATACTGGCCAAGCATTGTTGCAGAAGAAGTACATGGTCAGTGTACGTGGCTGTGGGCAGCAGGATGGCAGTTTTGGAGAAGGGAAAGACACCATGGACACACTGTACAGGCTGCTGGAGCATGACCCTCATTCAGCCCTCAACGCAGGACAGACTGCAGCCTGCAGTCCCATCCAGGGTAGGTCAGGAGTGGACCAGGCTTTGGGGCATACACACATCGCATCCCAGGTTCACGCTGACTGGTGTCCTCCAATGCTCTCTAACCCCCTCTCCTTTTTTTGCTGCTGGCTTGGTATATGATCCTTTTGGGTTCGCTTGGGTTTGTGTATTCTGTCGGTGAGCTTTGTGGTAGTAAGAACTGAAGTAAGGGTTAATGATATATCTCATAATGGCCTCTCATTAAAAAAATGGATCATTTGAAAAGGATCATTCAACAAAAAACCAAGTAACACATAACTCAAGGTCCATTTACGACCTTTTTGCAGAGCTTTCAACTGGAATTCATGGTCTTTATCAGTGGATGGAGTTTGCTCAGTCAACTGAGTGGATGAAGGCCAAAACATACAGTTTAAAACTCCAGAAAAAAGCTTAACAGTGGATCTTGAGCAGGCTTTGGTCAAAAATGATGCAGTATGAGAGATAATTATATTATGTTATAATGTTTATCGGAATCAATTCAGGAAAATTGGCCTGACAATATATATCATTGAAGCCCTATTTCAAAGTCATGTTCTGCTTTTGTGTGGGTTTGGTGTCCTCTTTTGACAGATTAATACTTCTCAAAAGGTTTCTGTTCTGTGATGCTCTTCAGACATATTGCCTGGCTCTGTGTTGGTGTATTTATAACTGAATGTTGCACACCTCTAGAGGCTAACCAACAAGCTAATCCGTGCTGTACAACACAGAGGTGATTATAATCACTGCTTTCCTAAGTGTTATTATGCTTGGCAGTTTTTCTCTTCAATTTATCTGGAATGCTCTTTTCTCAAAGGCAGTGTTTGCTAATAATAATCTAGTTTGTACAACGCCAGTGTTAGCTTGATCTTTATGCATTTTGTTCTCCTTTTTTTCATGGGTTTATCTCACAGCTACTCTAAATATACACTTACTGATTATGTTAGAGAGCCCAAATTCTGTCCCAACTCATTGTTACTGTTTTCAAATCCAGCTGTGAACTTTGTTGATTTTACATTCAAGTCCAATAAAGATTCTGGGACTATGCTGACACAGTTACTTTTTAGTATATCAATTCTCTAACCATTCAGATATTGGTTTGGTCTGTCTCACCAGAACATGCTATTGAGCATATCAAACACTAACCATGCCCCCTGCCCTTTCTCTTTCTCCCTCAGCTGCCGAGCTCTCTTTGCTTTTACGGGAGCTGATTTTGAAACTGTTCTCCGAGCATCTTTCTGCTGATGGCAAGGTAATGTCCTTATTAACTCGAAAGGCTTCTGGCGCAGAGCCTATTTGTTTGTATGTTTGGTTGTTTTTAACCGTTGTGTCCTTTCTCCCACAGTCTGTGGACTACAAAGGCATGTCGGTGAACCCTGCCTTTGAGCGTTACTCTGAGCTAGCCATTCAGCTGCAAAGGGTGGAGCTGCTTTCGCTGAGTCGGGAGGAGAAGCTGGCCTTCTTCATAAACATCTACAACGCCTTGGTCATCCATGGGTACCTACGCCTAGGGGCCCCCACCAACATGTGGCAAAGATACAGAGTATGATCACACTCATACTCGAACTAAACAAAAAAAATACTCATAACCCTAGTCATTACCATATTGCACAGTCCCTATTGAGTTTCATTACAGGTGTTCCTGGAAGCCCTAAGCCTATCAACAGCATTTCCTGGTGTCTTTGTGTATAGCTGTTGTGCATCAGAAAATGTTTTTTTCAGGGAAATCATTAAGCTTGTTTGGTCTTAATTTTTAATTCGGTTCACAGGCACTTCTGCAGGAAAGGACATTATGTTATTTATTAAAAATATTTGTCTCTTTTGCATTTTGTAGTTCTTCAACTATGTGAGCTACCTCATTGGAGGAGAGGTGTTCACATTACAGGACATTGAGAACGGCGTTCTGAGAGGGAACAGAAAAGGTGTCGCACAGCTTCTGAAGCCCTTCTCCAAAAAAGACCCACGACTACAAGTATTCAGACATTCTGTTAAATCACAGCTGAACATTTCACTGAGTCACCAATGAGAATGGTGACGTTGAATTAAATCTCCCATGTTGTCCACTAGGTGGCCCTTCCAGATGCTGAGCCCCTCATTCACTTTGCCTTGAACTGTGGCGCAAAGGGCTGCCCACCGATTAAAACATATACTCCACAGGTAAGTTAATAAAAAAATACTTACAATACAAATACATTTCTTGTGTTTACAGACTATATAAATCTCTTCTATCGGCTTGTTATATGTGCCAGTGCTGCTGTCTGTGTTTAATTCTGTCTCAGCCATATAATGGTCTTTCATTGATAAAGCTGCTGAATATATAAATTAATTAGTGATTCATTAATTATTTAGTCAGCGGAATGTACTGGGGGACTGTCTTGATTCATTGTACATCATATCTGTTAACTACTAAGAGCTTGAATGGTCTGACATCAATTCTGATCCACCAGGACATTGACAGCCAGCTCCGCATAGCGGCTGAAGCCTTCCTGGAGAATGACGACGGCTGTATGGTGGATTCTGGGAAAGGAGAAGTGCGACTCAGTCAGATATTCAAGTGGTACAAGGCTGACTTTGGAGGCACTGATGAGAAGGTAATCTTGACTCCCAGCTGCCTTATGTGTACATATAGAGACACTGAATTATCGTTCAGGCCAGCGATAGAGACACTGCTGTCTGTTGGCATTTGTTGGCAAAACTCTAACCCAATAATCTTAACCCAAGTGTGAACCTCACTGCATGTGTTCTCTTCCATCTTGTCTCTCTCATAGCTGCTGAAGTGGGTGGTGGAGCACATGGGTGACTCTCCGAAGAAGACCAGCCTGCAGGGCGTCCTTTCTGCTGGGAAGACCAAAGTCAGCTTCCTCCCTTATGACTGGAGCAGCAACAGTTCCCACTGAGCATGCACACACAAATACACACACGTCCAGCTGCGTCTGCTTTAAAAAAACCCAGAAGGTTGGTGAAGACAAATACAGTCCACTGGTCCTCAACCATGCAAATGTTTTTATGCAAAACAAACTGTAAATCCAAGTGAAAGGAGTGTTTTTGCATTGTATCATAGAATCACATTTATCTTGTAGGCTTATCCTAGCTTTATGGTCTTATTGTAAGCTCCTACACCCTATGTTTGAAAGTCATGTTCTGCATATGAGTGGTACATTCAAATTTTATTGGTTTGAAGTAATAACAACTGAGAGCCTATTTTAGAAATCAAGTTGCACACCGAAACAATGTAATACAGCAGCAGGATTAACAGGAAGTGTGTTGTGCTATTGACTTCCATTATTGTTGTCCTATTTAAATTGACAAAGCTTAAAAATCTGTACATTTCCCAAATTATTTATTATTTAGAGTAAATTCTCACAGAGAAAGCTAATACAAAATCATACTGTATAATTATTATAATAATATAACAAATTGTACTTTCATCCTCTTCTCCAGTCCTAGTTTTTAAACACCATGTCAGCAACTCAGGAGTTATAGATTGTCACAATCTTCTCTGTCCAATACAGCACTCATTGGACTATTTATGTGGAGCATTTAATCAGAGCGGATGGAGATGATAACTTGGCTGATCCAAACACACTGCCTTGACAAGCCATAACAAAACCCTTTTGAACGTACAAACCTACTCATTCGTGTTCAGCAGATTCTGTAGATTCCCCACAGTACTGCTCCATCATTTCAGCACCATTTCTTTTTACCTGCGGAGGTAAACCAGCTGATGTTGATCTCTACAGGGAAAGAAAGTAATAGCCGTTGCAATACTTAATGGTAGTGGAACATCAGTGTATCATCATATGGCTGTGCCACCAGATGTTGGCCTTTTACACATTTTTGTAAAACATTCCTTTTTCAAGTATGACCCAGTTATCAAGCTGTTTTTCATTGGACAAACAAAATCTGGTTAGGTGCTGGTAATGTCACCTTTTTACCCAAAGGATTGGCACAGGTTGGACTGGAACTGCAGTGTGGTGCGGTGGCTATGAGGCTGCTCTGTCCTCTGAAGTCCCCATGTTTGTGGACAGCATCCTTTTTTATAGGATCCAGTCACTGAATTACAAAAACATCAACAAAAAAAACATGACTGTGTCTTTGTTTAGAGAGCACAAAGAGATGCAGCGCTCAGACTTTTCCATATTTTGATCAGTTTAAATTTCCGACCCCTTGTCGTATTTTGAGTCCTCCTTTCTTTATCTGAACTTACTTGGTTGTTCACCCCTCATTTTGATCCAGGTCTTCCATTTTCAATCGGAAAAGTGCTACTGCTGTGTTTTTTCACAGTTATTTAGTAAAAAATATAGTAATATTGTGAAATATTTATGAAAACTACACCCATTTGGGATGCACTCTGACACTTTGCATGTTTATCGCCAACTTTGAATGCTGTTGAGACACATTTGTACTTTTTTCCACAAAGAGTCACTGCTGGTCCTTATGAGAATAATGGGCTGTGTTTATCTGGCTGTTTATTCCAGGGTATCCGCGGGGACTGAAAAGAATTCTCAGTCTTGAAAACATTTTTCATTACTCAAATCAGAAGTCATGTAGCAGTTTAAGTCTTGATTTTATTTAGTTTAGCAGGTTTTTGGTGTGTGGAGTTTGTGCTTACAAAACTGTTTTCAACATTGAAATTCAACTTCATTGTTTGTTTTTGTTTTTTTCATTTTACCTGGCCTTAAAAGTTTAATATAAATACTGTATATGATTATAACGAGTGTGTGGCTTGGGGAAAAAAAAAAAAGTATTTGTGGGGCTTTCTCTGTTTCCATAATTCAAGGATTTTCTTATCTCAGGTCAAAGGAAAATGTGAGTGGGAATAACATTAAGTTCTTTGATGCAATCAATGCACTGTATGCTGCATGTTGTGTATAGTCTTAACAAATTTCAGCTCATTCTGCATAGTCCATATTCCTTTGCAAAGGCATCGTGTCACGGACATTACTATAACTGTCAGTTTCTTTGTCTTTAAGCTATAAGCAGCACCAAAGCGTATGGTTACATTTGCATGTTAAAACTGGAATGCATTTGCGGCTTGAGATACCGGAAGACTCTCCAATCTTGAATGCTGGTCTTATAGCAGGACTGCCTCTATCACTGCTTTTGTTTCTAGCCTGTAAGCTCAGCCATAAAACGTAGGCGGACCTTAACACTTACCCCCCCCGTTAGACAAATAAAGTGTCATTTAATATCAGAACACAATAGTGTAAAACCAAGCCATCCGTCAACAAAAATTTGCATCACTCAGTCTTAACAATAGACCTTTTCTGCTAACACAAGCCTTCAGCGACAAGTGCACCCTTGGCTTTACTACACTTAACATTAGAGTGACTGAGCGTAAAACACAAGGGGAAGACTTGTTGTGGGCTAAAACAAACATAACAAAAGGGTTTTATTTACTATATTGAAGATCCCTGTCCTTTTTCAAAATTACCTCATGTATCAGGAAAATGTGATGCAAAAACTTTTTTAAGCAAGCAATTCTAATATAATCATTCTATTTTCCTTCCTGGGGTTAACAATGAAGCAATATGTTTATGAATAGCAAATATGCAATGCCAAACAAAAAAATAAACTATATAACGAGTCTGTCTGCTGTCTCCTTTACTGTATTATCTCACTGCATGCAACATATCTGCTTTAAAACAGATGACACTAATAAAAACAACTTGTTTATTTATATGAATAATGTGCAACAAAAAAGATTTCAAACCTATAACAGACTTTTAGTTTAAATTTGTTTATTCAAACAAATGTCATCACTTTCTTTAAAAAAAATAGATAGGGAATCATTATTACCTTTTACAAATCCAATCTATTAACATTTTTACATATAAATAAGCAGATTTAAGTGCACAGTCCCATAAAAACATTACATTAAAAAGTTATTAAAACAGATCAACTATCTCAAAAGTATATACATAAACAACCAATGTGAAATATTCTACATAAAGAAACACATGGTCATGGAGTTAAACATGACTTCGAACTTTGAACTTGAGTCATTACAAACTGGTACTGAATTACTGATTGTAATGTTTATCTTTACCTACAGTCTAACACTGTGATTCAGTCTTGGCACTAATAAAATTGTGAATGATTCATATACTGTACAGAATAATAGTGTGACAGTATGAAGGCAGATTCACATGGTTTCACACATTTTGGTCATGGGTTGAATGTTAATGTTGTCATACCATGACCAGTAGATTAGCTAACGAAGGCAGATCTAATCCTGACAATTCTGCTTACCTACAAAAACAGCAGCCCACATAAATTATGCTGAAAACACATAATTCAACAGTATAAAGAGGTGGAAAGGGGACACAAGCACCACATATCCACTGTTGTCATTTCCAGTGAGACTTTTTCTACATCGTCTCTACAAAAGACCGAAAGCTCAGTGTTGCAGAATTAATTTGGAAGACTACAATAATTAAACAAATGTGCTGAAAGGAGAGGGCAAAACACATGTAGTTCATCTTTCCACTTTCATTGAGTTGCAAACACAGCATATGATGTAGTGCATGTAAAATCCATACTTATAGGACAAAATATGAAATGACTTTCAAACCATGAGCTTTTGAACACCACGGGCAATGGAGCAAGATGGCCCTCTGCCACCAAGTGTTGCCAGCAAGACATTAGAGTGTAACATAATAATTGGCCATGAAAGAAAATAGTTGGGGGCCCTTTTGTGTATAATGTCTGTAAACAATTTGGTGCTTAAAATAAAGTCTAAATCAAACTGATCCAAAAAGGCTCAGTGAAGCCAGGAAAAGGCGTGATTAAGTTCAAATTCAATACTGTATGTAATTTTCACTCATTCAGGCTGACTTTACCTGACTGTTAAAGCCTTCAGTGTAAAACCCAAATGGACATGTACTTGTGTCAACCAGTCCGTCTTAAACACAAACAAAACTAAAAAACAAGTCACCATTTAAAGAAAAAGGCTTCTAGATAAGTCATTTGTTTTTCCACAAAGTTCTAATGGGGAAGCAGTTTGCCAAAAAGGACTGAAGGGGGTTTCTCCATTGCTTTGTATTCAGCCCTGGTTAAAATTTCACTAGTAATTTAAGTGTAGTTACTGCCATGAAGAGGTTTTAGAGATTCAAATATGTGGATGCGCAGCATCTTTCCCCGTAGCAGATTTACAAGCCTCTTCCTGAAAGCTAATGTGTTACTTTAACTTTAACACAGCATGGTGAGTCCAGCAAAGGTTTGTCATTAAAACACATTCTGTGGTATTCTAACATAAGAGTACTGTGATCACATGTTATTTTAAAGGTAGTATATAACTGAGTATTTGTATATAGAGAACTATTGTGTTTTTGATTCCATGGCGATTGTCTTGGGCCAAAGTTTGGTTTCTCAGTTTCCAGGCATTTTTTTAGAATTACTTTTAGATCTGCTGAAAAAACTAAATTTGTTCTCATAACCAATGTTGTTTTAAGCGGTAAATCATCATAATAGATTAAGAAAATATATGGATTTATCAAAGATTTTTGATTTACCTTGACAAAGTGCACACTGATGATGCTTTGAGGAAAAACAATATGTTCAAAACTAGTTTTAGCTGTAAAAAGTATTGCTTCAAAAGAGGTTCTATCAATTTAAATATGAGACAAATAAATCCTCCAGTTAACCATTTTGACAAACTGGTATCCAAGAGCTGTATGTGAGTATCAAAGGATTCCAGTGTTCCTTTTTCTTGTTTGCCCTGAGCCTGGTGGCAGAGTACGATGGTCCAGTTACAGCTCCTCTTCACTTAAAACTAACCTAAAAGATAACAAAAAAAAAAAAGATTATCGAATGGTTCCATTGGGTTAGAAATATAAATACACTTTATAAATCTGTGAATCAAGCATACTTACTTTCATCGTCAGAATCAAAGCCAAAGAGTGCAGAACAGGTGTTAAGGGCTTGGTGTTTCTGTAATTCTTCTAAGCTGCTGAAGGAGGAAAGACATTTATCACAGCGAGACCTGATCTTTTGATCGGGGACCACGTTATTCTGCTGCTGCTCCTTTTCTGGGACAGGCTCAATCTTTTTCTTATTGCTCCAGTAAATATTTTTCCTCTGAGTGGCCTCATCACTGGACCTCCTCTTCCGCATCGAGAGCAGAGATTCATCCAGGTAGGTGGAGGGGGGCGGTCGGATAAAGGGGGCTTTGACAAAAGTCGCATAGGCGGGATCTTCAGGTTTGAAGGTTTTGTGCTCAGTAATGTGTGGCTCTCCCAGTTTCTGCTGGACTCCCTCAGACAAAGTGGACAAATCCTCAAGGTCTCGGACATTCAAGGGGTCCCACTCCATGGGCGTCCTTTTTCGACATTTCCTACTTGAAGTTGCTGCAGCACCAGTATGGGAAGTGGAGATCTTTCCCTCTGACACTTGGTTTCCTGTGTTCTCCTCACATCCGTTGATGCCGGCTTTCTCTGAACAATTATTAGATCTAGACAGGTCTTGATTACTGTCCATTTCGCAAGGATGATCTTCAGTTTCGTTGAAAACCTCAAGATTAGAGGCCTCAACATAATCAAGGGTGGGACTTTGCCCCTTTTTACTCTGCAGCCATATCTCCTCAACCTTCACTCTCTGCTTCCACGGAGCTTCAGCATTTTGCTTCTGTCTGCTGGGTCCCAACTCTAACTCCTCTCTTTGAGGCACTGGGATGTAGTGTCTCCATTCATGGTCATAGAGACCTTGAAGGCTAGAGAATAGCTTCTCACAGTCCGTGAATGGACACTGAGGTCTGAAGGGCTGATGGGTACTGACATGGTCCTTTAATTCCTGCAGAGTCAAGAAGCGCTGGTTACACTCCAGATGGTAGCAGAAGTGCTGGAGAGCAGTATCGTGGAGCTTCATGTGGTCCTTATAATGCGGGAGAAACTGTAACTGCCTGTTGGAAGAAAGCACAGTCAGCACAATCAGCTCTACTCAAAAACATTTGCAGGAAAGAATCTTTAGCAAGACTGAATAATAAAACTTATTTTGAATGTTCAAAGAGAATGCTGAAATTTGAAAACAATTCTTGCACATTTTGTTTTGATTTTAGTTTTGTACAGTAAGCTTGTGTTTATTATAAGTTAAAAAGAAAGAGGAAGCATATCAAATGATGAACTACTAACTATTGTTACACCCCTAGCTGGCAGACAACTAGACCCATGTTTGATGTGATCCTGTATTTGCCTTCGGCAGTTTGCAAACATCAACCACTGGCTAATCTTTAAAGCTTTGGAATAGTAAAAAAAAAAAAGAAACATAAATTTAAGCTTCCAAAGATGCTGCTTTAATCTATAAAGATGTGTTGTCATCATCCTTCATGTTTGACATTATCTGACACACATGAATCTACTCATTAAATAGCATTGCATTAATAAACAACATTTTTGCACCGAGGCTGTTCCTTTCTGTTTTTTTTTACACAATAAAAGTATAAAATTGTCAGTGTCTGGGGGGAGATTCTCTCTCCAGTGTTTGTTGCTTCAGTGCTGACTGTTTATTTCTGACTTTTCTACATCTTTTGTGTCGATTACATGACTTAATTACTCTCTATTGGCTGGACTTTTGTCGCGCTTGCAGTGGCGTGTTGAGTGTGGTTGTGTTGTATCAATAAAGCTCAACATAGCTGATACCAATCAGTTAAAACATCCCTTGATCACCAATTGTTGAGATCGGATCGGGACCTCTGCATAGTCAGACACTTTTTAAATAACAGAGCAGATAAACATGCAAAGTGTCCTATTAAACTCTACATAAAGAAGTGTGTGATGCGCGATATACTGTACGTCTTACCTGGAGCATAGAGTGCACTTGTGCTTGGCCCAAACAAACGTCTTCTCCAGCACTTTCTCTTCGTTAATATGGCATTTGATAGCATGCTTTGTTAGCGTGGAGCTGATCCTCAAGAATACTCTATCACAGGACTCTGAGGGGCACAAGTGATATGTGATGTTCACACCGAAGCCGTTCTCTCCGGCTGGCTTCTCTGCCCCCTCTCCATCTCCCTCCTTCTCCGTCACAGATGGATCTCTTACTACCACCAGGCCATTGTTAATGACTACCTGCTCATCCTTGAAGTCTACCTGCTTGAATATATTTGCGTTCGGGTTCTTGCACTTTTTGTGAAGCACAGATGTCTTTTTGATGAGAGTGCGGAGGTTCCTGATGATTCGATCTTCCCTCTTGAGGCTTGACACTTTCGTTTTTCCTCTGGGTTTCTGTTCAGGAGTTTCCTCATCAGAAATGGAAGTTGGATTTTCATCCTGAGGCTGGCTCTCATTTTTTACATTATCTGCTATTCCATTAGCAGCTGGCGTGTTCATAGAGCATGGCTCCTTATCAGGGGGTTTCTGCTTGCACATTTCATCAATGTGGTCTAAAATATGCTTTTTGGCAAAAGGAAGTTGTTTAAAGCGTTTCCCACAGAGTATACATCTTAGTTTCCTGCTCTTAAGGTGTGAGAGAGCATGCCTCATAACATTCAAGCCTTTATAGTCTTTGCGGCAGAAGTTGCAGTGGTGCATCAAGTGAGCATATTTTTGAGTACGGAGTACTCTGTCCTTCCACGTTCTCTTGGTTATCACCTGGAGAAAAGACAACAAACCATAGAAATCAGTGCTATGAGGTCAACAGAAAGTCAGCAGAACAGCAACAAAAAATCCAAAGAAAAGGCAACTGAACCCCCTCATGTATTTCTATTTTTCTTATTGATATGCAGTGTCAATTCATGTCAGTATTAGGTAAGTATTTTTCCTGAATAACTGTTTTCCCATTCTACTGCAACACAGTTTATTCAAAGCAAAATGTTGCTAATAGATCATCTAACAAGTAAGATAAATATACTGATTTGGAATACATGTGACCAGTAATTATAAACCTACAATATTGAATTCCTGGAAGGGTAATTACAAACAACTGACCTCTGTTTTTGACACTTCTTTTTCAACTGTGGGTTGGGGCTCCTGTTCTGTATCGCCATTCAGCCCCTCTGATTCTGAGGATTCAGGAGGTTGCACTTTCTCGCTGTCAGGCTTTTTGGATTTAAGAGAGTAGCTGTGTAACAGTTCTATTGGACAATCCAATAACTCTAAGGGTGGACCATCGAGCTCAGGATCAGCATCAACAGCAGGAACAGCAGCTTGAGGCTCACTAGGAGGACCCTCACAAAGCTTATAACCAAACTGTGTTTGAGATTCCTCTGGGGTGCTACCACAGACAAAGTCAGTATGTTCTTCAAGTCCATTTTCCTTCTCAAGATCAGCCATCTGCTCATGTTTGATCTCGTTATGTTCATACTCTTGTTTAAGTTCATTCTCCAAGTGAGGCATATCAAGCTCTTTGTCCTCTGTGTCAGTCATCTCCTCAAAACCAGACTCCTCCTCTGAAAGGGATATTTCATTATCAGGGTAGGAGAGTTCCAGTTTTGGTAAAGGCTTCCGTCCTCGTTTTTTCCCTTTAACTTTGACCTTCTTCTCTTTAACTGCCTGGACCTGCTCCAGCTTTGGAAGACCCTGCAACCATCTCTTCTTCCTACCTTTCCTTTTGAAAATTTGGCTCTTTACACATCTAGACAAGTATTCTCTCTTGCGGTTTAGAGGGGGTTTTACAGAAGGTTTTTCCATGTTAGTGTGATTGCGTCTTAGTGAATACACAGGCTTATTGCCTAAAGAGGTGGATTTGAGATTGTATTTGATCTCTGGATCATCAACCATGTCGACCTCAACGTCAGACTTAGAGTGTTTTCTCCTTTGCAACCCTCTCCTCCATTTTCTTGTCTTCAGAAGAGCATTATTCGATGGGGCAACATGCTTGTCTGTCCCTCCATCCACAGTCTGCTCTTCTGGAAGGTCTTGGTTCACAAATGCAACTTCAGTGCACTGGCAGGAATTTAAACCTTGAGAGCATGAGTGATTTCCACAATTGTTTATTAAGAGCTCTTCAACTTCCTTTTCCTCCTCCATCTCACTGAGAACAGCAGCCTTCATGACCTTGTCACTCATTAACTCCAAGCAATAATTCCTGAGGGTTAGAAGGTTCCAAAACTCAGGGTCAAAACACAGACGCTCTTTGATCATCTGAAAAACACAGATGTAAAAACAATGTTAGGCACAAATCATGATGCTATATCCAATATACATCATAAAATATATTCCCCTCTTCATCCCCTCCTACCTGCAGAATATGGAACCGAACATTGGTTCGGACAGGACTGTTGTGGGGATGCGGCTCCTGGTCAGGATGCATGTAAAGTAAGCAGACAGTTCGGTAAGCTTCCAGGCTGCGTTCCTGACAGAAGACCAGTAGGGCACATGCTCGACAGATCTCCAGGTCATGAGGCAGCAGGAAGGCGATGGTCTTGCAGACCAGGGACCGGGTAACGCTGTCAGCCTGCATGTCACACAACTGCAAGGTCCTGGCACAAAGCTCCACACAGACATGGACTCCTTCAACTCCCAGCTGTCCAAAAACAAACACACTAATGATTAAGACAACATGCTAGGTAGGAGAATAAAATGATTAAGGCAAAAATGACAAAACAAGAAATATACGTTCAGTTTAACAGCACAAGTCGGCACTATATACATTTTATTTGTTTAACATAAAGGGATAATATATTTAGCAATATATGAAAACAAAACAATAATTTTTGTTTAAACTTTGTGCTCTACACTTGATCACTGGCGGTTAAGCACCATAGTGAGGCTCTGTCTTCTTATGGAGAAAGTGACACCCAATCTCGGAACCAATCGGTTATCTTCTGACGACAATTTTGCCTCTGGGGACAATGTTTGGTGGGCTTCCGGTGACTACCTCTAAAGTCCAATTAGCAACTTGATATGTGAGAATGTCAAAAAGGCACAATTCAGCAAATCCCTATAAACAGATATCTGCATATGAATGCAGATATTTTTTTTTAAAGTGAATAAAAAGCTTAACTGTCATCAGACGATAGCCAGTGCGTTCCGAGATTGCATTTCAGCCAATCCCTCCTACCTCTTTTGCTTTCTACACAGAATGTTTGTTTACCTGCATGCAACAAAAGTCAATATGTGATTGGTCAATGCTACTTACATATACTTATATACAATACTACTATATCCTCCTCAGGTATGAGGCATGAGTAATATTCTTGTCAGATTGAAGTGTTTTCAGTTTGTTCACAAACGTTTCAGATGCAAGAATATTTTGTTAATTATCGTATGTTCTCAGGAACATAAAATGGAAAAGATGATGTTGTGATGTCAGTTGCACCTCAGTAGTGACCAGTTTGATGAAGGGGAAGATGGCTCTGACGTTAGTAGCAGAGGAAGCCAACTGCAAGCACTCAGCCAGGAAGCCTTGTCTGGAGGGATGGGCCCTAAGATGCAACCTGCTCCAGATAAACACCAGGTCCCTGCAGGAGGTAGCAGATGAAAAGTCAAAGACATGTAGCTCAGTTAGATGTTAATTAAGCAGCAACTGTTGTAATTCCTAAGTCAGTAAACAGAAGGGTTACTGAACCAAATAGAAATAAATTAAACTGTGCATCCTGCCAACAGCTGCCCTCATACACTTGAGTAAACACTGGGTAATTGACAGAACATGAGAGGATAGCTCAGTGTAGTAGTGTTGTGACGTACGGGTCTGAAGGTCTTTCTTACCAGATGTAGTACATGTCTCCATTGTGTAGCTGCTGGGTAAGGAAAGCTTTACACAGCGACAACAGAAGCTCATCTTTTTCAACACTCTCCGTGTTGCAGATGATCTCCACTGCATCACGGCCATCTATTTCTGCCATCTGAGGAATAAGAAATGTAGAAGAAGACACATGCATCAAAAATACACCAAATACAAAGTAATTCAAAATACATTACAATAAAGAAGTGATACCAAAAATACAAGAATAATCTGTTCAAATGGCAGCTTGTAATTACAGGTTCCGTTCATAGTCATTTAATATAGAATCATAATGAGTTGAGTTTTAATCATTTATCAAATTATTACTGGTTTATTTATATATTTGACTATTAATATCATAGTCAAATATTTAGAGAGCATGGAATTCATTTTCTCTGTTTCCCAGTTTGACTGGTGCAACAACAGTATTTATTTTTCTTGATTTTAAGTATCACCCTTTATACCAACCCCATCTCTGCCATCTGAAGGGGCGAACATATTATTTGTCTTAGTCTCTTACCTCCTTGTGAAGGTGTTCATGCAGTGAGGCCTTGTAGAGGCATGTCAGGTAGGCCTGGTGGAAGTACAGATGCTTTCCAGCGTCACGATTTTCCAGACAACTTTTTGCCAGGGCCTTAGCCTCTTGAATTCTTTCACAGGCCTGCAGATAGCGAACCCGCAGCTCAAAGAACACTGGCAGCTCTGAGCTCAAGTAGTCTTCAACTGCATGGGAGGAAATTGCATGTGTTAATGTATATGATATGGGGATATTTACATACAACCATGAGGTAATGTCAAATAGTGTAACACTGATGTTGGTGTCATTAGAAATCTAGACTAGCCCATATGTTTTTTGATCTCTGATATAATGGCCAAGTGTTTCATGTATTGCACATGTTTAGGTACTGGTATATTGTTTAGGCATAACATTAACATCATTTTAAGAAGCATCATATAATCTGTTACTTGTTGTTTTTTTTGTCACAAACCTTTGCAAACTTTAGCCACATTCATGTAAAATCAGGAAACAATTGTTGTATCTCAACTAATAAGCTTTTGAAATGTGACAAACAGTGACTATCAACATAAAATGTTACCAAATATTTTGATAGCTTTTAGCCATGACAGCCGAGAGAGCCTGCAACCCAAATTTGGAGAATGATCAATGATCTCAGAGACGTTTTTAAAAACAGGAATAAAAGGATAGGGAGAAAAAATCTGCTACATCATTCTGAAACTGAACTGATGTGCAGCAAAGCTAAGCCTCTAGTATATTCTACTACCCTGACACCATCTGTTCTGGAGTGATTTTGTACTTGGGATCTGCATTCAGCAGTTATTGAGATCAAATCCATCAAATCCACAGAAAAGAGCAGCAGCTGAGTGTGATTGTGATTAATGTATGACTGACAGGAAGGAGAAGCTAGAACACAACGTGTCACACCCCCTCAATGTGGTGTTCTCTGTGTGTACGCGTGTGTATCAGCTGTTAAATATGGTCCTGAGCCTACCCTCTTTTGGTGGCAAGTCTGCCTCCTTCAGGATTCCTTGCAGCACTGGATTCTCCCATGGGCCTCCTGCTTTGATGATCAGCTTCACATGCTGAAGGTAGATGTTCCTGTGCCGCAGGAGCTGAGAGTGGCACTCCTGCAAAGAGTGGTAAAAATGGCTTCATTAAGATTTTCTGGAAGAACACGTTTGGTGGCATGGCTAAATCACAACAATGACTTTCAGTATACATGGGTAAATAACTGCCAAAGAGCGCTGCTTTAACAGAGGCTGACTGGCAACGTGTGACACCCTTAAGCTTGTGCTTCTAGAGTTATGTTTTTATGGACACTTTAGGAATCATTAATATGTAACAATTCTTAAATGGAGTTTGGCACCAGGAGTTGCGCCAAGCTGTGTAGTGAGAACAGTACAGCAATCTGAAGACTTTGAAAGTCATGCACTGGGACTGAGGCATAACTTGTATTTAACGCTAACAGCTAACTAGTGGCAGGTCCAGAAGCTGGGTCTTATGAAAGTGTGTTGTGTGGATCAGAAAACAGAGACAGTGGGCCAGTTTTTGTCACCTGAAAGGAATCAAGGATGTCTTTTAAAGGCTTTTCCACAAATTCTTCTTTGCTAAAAAACAGCATCAGTTCAAAGAAGCTCCTGAAAGACAATGAGAGGAAAAGTGAGACAACATCTTAATCAGTAAATGTGCCACTATTGAGTAGCTCATTAAAGTAAAAAAAGCTTTAGTTTTAGTTTTTAACAAAAAAAAAGGTAAGCTCCAGCATTGCCATTAACAACATGCAAACCAGGCTGCCATGTTCTGTGCGGTATATGGTTTAGGTTTTTTTTTATTGGAACCTCAATGTCTATCAATGTAAACGTTAATGACTTACACTCTTAAACACTGATTTGCCCTTTTAATTTTCTCTTAATTATTGTAGCTTTGAAGTTACAGAAAAGAAAGTCAATGCTGTATAGAGCTGTAAGACAACCAGGGATGGGAAATATTAATCAACTAGCCAAACAAATGCTGGTCAACATCAAAATTAAAAGATTCATTCATTCTGGTAACAATTACTAAAATAAGAGTAGAAAATACAGTATGTTTTTCCCAGTAATAGAACTTCTTACAACGCCAGACTGCTGAGAACGTAGTGGATGTGTTGACAGTCATCAGGGAAAGCTTTGGTGGCTTTGGTAAAACTGCACAGTGCAGTCCACAGCACCTTCAGTTGAGGGAGAGGAACTTGCCATTGCCCCGTGTACTCCTCTACCAACTGTGCAGGAAGAACATAGAAATGTAGAATAACACAAAGACATTAAAACATTTGGTCATAACATTTATAGTCAATCCAGTGAAACATTGAGCACATTCATACATGGTTTATTTCAGTGTGCTTAAGTATGTTTACTTGTAAGTACAGAGAGGTAGGGGTTTTCAATGGAGACAAATAACTTTGATCATATTGGAACTAATAACATTTAATCACATCATGTGCCTGAAATTCATTCTAGTCTGTAGCTTAATATGCTAAAGGAATCACTGCCTGGAGTGCATTACATATTAGTGGGTAATCTATCATCTGATAAAAAGGAAAATTTAAATATTGTTATTGTTGCAATTAGAAATTACAGCCAATAATTAACCTCTACTAAAACTATGCTCATTTAGCAGTGAGCTGACTGGTCAGAAAACTAGACTATTCAAATTGGATGTATTTTATTACAGAGGGAACAGAGGGGGAAAATTCAAAAGTATGAAATTCCTAATCCAATATCCAGGTCCTTTTTTTTTTTAGCCCTACTGCACACTTACTGTAAATGGGGTGCTGCCTTCAAAAGGTTAATAAAAGTACTAGTTTGGGAGATTTGTATTGATCGGCCTCAACAAGTAGACACAAACACAGATTTGGCTGTGTGGTCCATCACAAGCACCTACCTAATCACATTAGAACAATTAAATTAAAACGTATTTACATAGTGTAAGTTAAATTATTGTTACTGGAATCATAATTATAACATTCCCTTTGCACAACACGACAAACAAACTCTAATAAATAATTTAATATCTGTGTTTTACTAAATATTTTACAGTCCATCGTGCTATTGCTCTGTTGTTACTGACATCTCCATGGTAACAGAGACCTCTCCGAAAGGTTGTGGATAGTGTAGTAACGTTGATTCAGATGGAGTAACGTTAAATCAGTATTTCTTCTGAACAAGGTAGGTCTGATTTCAGACTAATGCTTGACTTCAACAGGGGAATGTGCAGCGACAGTTCAGTCTTCATCGTTAACTAATGTTACTGCTTAATACATAACAACAAATCTAAGTTAACTTGCCTCTCGGTGACTGTAGTTACATCTTTTTGTATTAATTACCTAACTTGGCATTTTATCTCGCCTGGCATTTGAGAACAGGCTATGTAATGTGTTCCTTAATCTTTCAAACAAAGTATTATTAACAACAACCATTAGTTTCGAGAATCACAGCTCGCATGTTAACCTCATATCGTTAGCTTAGCTTAACAGTGAAGCTATGAAGCTGAGCATTATCAAATGTCAGGCAGATATCTCGCATAGTAAACTACCAGAAGTCACCTCGGCAGGAGCACAGTATATATGAATCTACATTTTAGTAACCACTGTGGCAACCAGCTGTGTTTCCGACGGGCTGTGCCACAGTCTTGGCTACACAACTGCATAAATAGAGCTAGTCTGGAGGCTAACGTTAGCTACCGAAGCTAGTAGCGTTAGCAATAAACAGACACCGACGAGGTGGAGCATTTCAAAATGGAGTTCAACATACCTCACAAAACTCAGAGCAATAGCTTTTGCTCCTCAGAGACGACTCGTCGCTGCAGTGTCTGTTACACAGTGTGTCCAGAGCTAATTCAAGCCCGTCTGTTTCCAAATCACTTTCGCTGTCCGCCATACTGTCTGCTGTATCCAGCGCATAGTCAGAGTTGCCAGGTTTGTAGAGGAGCATCCTTCTTCCACAACAAAACACTACCAACCTGGCAACCCTGCAATTACAGGCTAACAAATAAAGTTTTTTTTTTTTTTTTTTTTATTATTGACAAAGTATAAGAAACAGTCAGCTCCAGTCTTTTAAAATGCCTCCACGAAGGCAGGTTGATTAAATAAAAGTATTTTACTAATGGGCCTATTGACAGAATCACATTGAGACATTTGGCTATTTGTAGGCTGTTGGCAGTAGTGAAATATATTTGAGTATCTACCATGTCACTGTATGTGGCTGAGGTTAAGGTCAGAAGCAGACAGTTTCAGAAAAAAATACAAAAATATTAAAACAAAAAACAGCTCTTTGAGCCCTGTTGCCTAATTAGGAAGGTTTACATACACTCACAGTCAGTTATAAATAACACCATGTGTACAGAATAGAAAGCACAGGTGTCAATACAACAATGGCTCCATTCTTTCCAGTAAACACTGACTGGAGAAGTACATGTTTTTCTGTGACATGTCACAACACCTTTAGTTTTCCAACTCCAAAAAGTCATTTTAACTTAATAAGCAAATGTCCCTCCAATTGTTGTCAATACGAATACTGGTAACACCAACATCAGAGAACAGCATGAGTTCCCTGAGCAGTGTCCCTGTTTACTGTTGTTGAGGAGGGATTTGGGGCAAGAGTCCTGAGAACACCAGCAGTTCTTCTAGGACATGGACAACTCAGAGGCATCCCGGAGAAATAGAGAAGACATTGCTTCCTTTTTGCCTGGTGCCTGTATAGATCTGATCCCTGAGGAATGTACAGTACATACAGCTATGCTGCTGCAGTTGTTTGTGTGCTACTGTATGCAGACAGACTGGGCAGCAAGCCACTTTCATAACAGATGTGGGCTCAGTGGGTTTGTATCAGCACTTCACACGCTTGTGTTTATGTGGACACTCTAGCCTATACATTTTCCTCAGTGCATGTGATGCCCACTGGTTGTACTGTTTCCTGCACAGGGTAAAAAAGGGATAGTGTGCACTTCCACCTAAGCAACCGTTCTTAGTGAAGCTCTTGACTGACAGGTAAATCAGAAGAGGCTGGCTGCAGCATGTGTGTCAAAGGAAGCACATTGCTGTCTGCATCCACTCCACAAGAAGATCTGGAACTGGGAATTAAAAATGAGTGAGAAAAGGTGGAAATAAAAGTGACTTTTTTATTCTCTTATTTTCAAAATAGATGATGCTCATTACATAAGTTTGATAAGACAAGAAAATGAATTTGTATGTCTATGTTAATGAAGGCTTACTACTGTCTTTGACAGGAGGGTAAGAAAAGGTTCACTATCACATGTAGGCGAGAGTGAATTTAGGCATTTAGTTTTGGTGTGATTTTCTCTTTTGGGATATTTATCAATTAAATTCATAAGCAAACATATAGTTTTGAACATAGCCTATGAGACAGAGAGGACATGTGCATTAGATTTTTTGTTTTATCACTTTTATTTGTTTGATTGGTGAAGCCTGATGAACATATTCCCAGATTCATGAATCCCTTTTCATAGTCAGAGAGGGTGGTGCAGTTTATCACAGCCAACTGGAAGGTCTGCTGTATTTCTGCTAGCCACAAGGGGGAGTCATCACATTAGACTATATCGTGTCTGTTACATGTAACAGTCAGCGGACTAGAATATAAGGGTTGCAGAGTATCATAACAAGATTAATTTACACATGCATATGATCAGTGAGTTATTGTTTCCATACACATGGGGGTATACTGTACTCGTATCACTCACTTACCAAATCTACTCTCAGAAAATCATCATTAACTCAGATAAGAACAGGAGAACATCATTCATATGTGAACAGTTTATTGTTGATTATTGAGACAGTGTGATACAAAGAATTTAACAGTATACAAATACTTCTCATACTGTCAGAGATGTAAGTATATGACACACCTTGTATTATCTCTCAGGCATACAGTACACCCTCACACTTGACTCATCTGCAATATTTTCATCAACATATCATGTGCCCTCTTGGAGGCAGTAAAGAAATAGTAGTTCTATTCCTAGTACTTGAGTGGGATTAATGTAATGAGGATTTCTCCACCAGTTGTTTTCACATTCATTACAACCTAATGCTGGCCATGGCGTGGGAGTGAGATGGGATGAGGTGTTTAATGGCTCCAGGATATATAAATAAATAAGTACCGTAAGAAAAAATAAAAAGGAACATAAAAGGTTGTGCAAAAACTTCAATTAAAGTGGCAGTGTCTTTTAGAACCTGTAACCCTAGGATCTTAAGCCTTCTTCAAAATGTAACCTTTTGTAGTCAAAGCTAAATTGTTATATTGGTCCCAAAGTGTTTTTTCTTTCTTTTGTATCATTCAGAATGTGTTATTAATATAGGATGATTTGGTTCTTGATCATAAAACATTTTCTTCACATTAAAGTCATTATTTGCTGTTAATCCTAAACATTTCAAATGTTCAGCATTGTGAAAATTATGAAAAGCAGGCAATAACTCTTTGCATTGTCAAATGGATTAAGCCAATATCATTGCCATTACCTGACAATACCTCATATTATTTTATATTTCTTGGAATGTTTTGTGTGGCTGAATACATACCACCTCCAGCAACTATTTCTGTCAACAATCAGATGTAATGTTATGTCATGGCCACAGAAAGTCACAACTTGGTATGCTGTGGTATTTTACATATGTTTTGTATTTCAGCCAGCAGCTTGGACTAGATAGAAGGGAGGTCATTAGCTGGAACAGACATAATGGTCAGCTATTTCAAGACCTTTAAATGGGGCTGATCACTAATGCTCTGAACCCAGACCTTAAAAAGGTCAGAGATTGCCCATTTTCTAAAAACCAACCATGTCATTGTCGCTTCAAACACACCAATTAACATCAAGGAACTCTCAGGCCGTTCTATTAATAGCAGGACTTGGATTTCAATGTGGAACTTTGCTGCAAAGCTCATTGCTGAGCTGATGCAATTTAGGCTGTTGGAGTGCCTTGTGGAGTGTCTGGAAATGGGTGTCAGTCCTTTTCCTCTTTGAGATTATTATCTTTCAGGCACTCTGAAGTCAGTATTCAGTCAGAATTCTCTGACCTCCAGCCTTTAGTTTGTCTCCTCCCGGTTACAGTACACATATGTGTGGTGGTGTTTAGGTATGATCATGCATAATTGTAACCATCAGAGGTAATGACTGCACCTAACAAGTCTTTGGAAAGCTTTTTTGAAGTCTTCATTAAAGATGGTGTAGATGAGGGGGTTGATCAGCGAGTTGAGGTAGCCTAACCATGTAAGAAAGTCAGCCATCTCCATCGAAGTACTGCAAGAACCGCACGTGTTGACGATCACCTCCTTGACAAAAAATGGCAACCAACAGATGACAAAGGCCCCTATTATCAACCCCAACGTGGATGCCGCTTTGCGCTCCCGTGAGCCTGAGATCCGTGGCCCTTGGTAAAACTGGCTCCGACGTGACTCACTACGTGACTCACTACGCGACTCATGCCGGCGCGACTTGCACTGGAAAGCCTTTACTGATGCGCGCACACGTTCACGTGGAGGCTCCTCCGTTGAGGGTTCAGAGAACGACTTTTCTGGTGGGCTTATGGGCTCTGGACTTCGAGGTCCCCCATCGCCGACGTCATCTCCAGCAGGGTAGGATGACGGTATCATGCTCCCATTGGTCATACATGAGTGGCGGCTAGCCCGGCTGGCTTCCCTGCGCATATAGAGGGTTTGAGCAGCCCGGTAGATTTTGTAATAGAGGATGAGGATGAGAAGTAAGGGGATGTAGAACGCTCCAAGGGTGGAGTACAAGGTGAAGGCCATGTGATGGTGGATGATGATGCATTGGTCTTCCTGCTCTGCATCCTCACTATAATGCCGCCATAGTAGAGGAGGAAGTGAGATGAGGATGGACAAGAGCCACACCACAGCCACCATTGCTCCAGCCCTGGCCCCCGTGCGTTTGCGAGAGTACTCCACTGCATCAGTAATGGCCCTGTAACGGTCGATGGCGATTGCAGCAAGATGCAGGATGGAGCATGTGCAACAGGTGATATCCACACTTAACCAGATGGTACACACCACTTGGCCCATAACCCAGGTCTCTTTTTGGATGTACATGATACTGAAGGGCATGACCAGCACAGCCACCAGCAGGTCGGTCACTGCTAAGGAGCAGATGAGGTAGTTGGCTGGGTGATGCAACTTGCGGGTGACTGCAATAGCTGTGATCACCAGGCAGTTGAAGAATGTAGTCAGGATAGCCACTACAGAGAGGGTCACCGTGAGCAGGACCTTACTGGGAGGGAGTTTAGTGGTCTCCAGGGAGTCGTTACCACTGCTGTTTGTGGCAAACACCCCTTCAGTGCAATTGGGGAAATCCATTCTGAAAGAGAGTTGTGCATTAGACATAAAGGGAGCTTAAGGAAATAGTATTTTCAAAAATTCATTTTCAGAGGAAGACAAAAAATGTTGAGTCAATATTTGTTTGTGACTGCTGTGTATATTATTTGCTGCTGTTATTTAATATGATTATGATCTGGCATGGAATTCAATCAGTCAACATTTTAGTGCTATAAAATTCACAATGCAAGAATTGTACTATACTTCCCCCTCTCTTCTCCTTTCAGACATTCATAGCCAATGATTTATTTTGCTTTCTGCACTTCATACATAAAACATGTCAAAGTTTTTATTCAAAGTATGCTTTTAAAGATAATGGACTTCACAGACTGTGTTCAAGGTCTTGCCCACAGAATTTTTCCTAAAAGACTAAAAGTAAAAATCTAGGAATCCTACCTGTCTAGGCTCTCACGTGTTGCATCCGGTGGGTTCAGTGTGCAGCAGAGAGTCTGCTCTGATCTGTCCCGCCTGTTAGCTCTGCCATCACATCACCTCTGTCACTCATCAACACCTGAGGTAAAGAGAGGGAGGAAGAGGGAACAGAAGAGAGAAACAGTGAGAAAGAGAGAGAGACATAGGAAGGGACGTAAGATTGAAGACCGAAGACTTACTTAAAGCAACAGTACAAAGTAAAGTCAAAGTACAGCCAAGGACGAACACGCCTACACAAGATTAAAAATCACTGCAGATGCAGTGAATGCTTTTTCTAATGTTTGCATGAATGTTGTTAAGCAGCTGATCGATTGAGTATTCACCAGTGTGACTTCTGCTCTTCCATTCATGTCAGTCAAGTAACATAGTTCATTGGCTTGGTTATTAATATAAAAATCTTATGATTGGTTTATTATAAAATTAGAGTGTAAATGCTGTTTCAGATGCTTTTCAAACTCATTAACATTAAAATTGACTTTTTTGGAATTATTGGCTTGAAAGTACTTACATTTAAAGTCATACAACCTCTGTGTTGGCTGTTTCAATCCAAAAATATCACTCTATATATTGGAAATATATGTATATTGGCCAGTCCTAAATTTATTAACAGCCACTATGATTAAATTAAAGCACTCAGGTACGACAGTCATTGCAGCTCTCCTTCACTCTCCGCATTGCTCAGTATCCTGATGACTTGAGTGGGAACTGTTGCTATAGAAACACACGAACTACAGTACTTTTACTTAATGTGGTGATGGAGCAGAAGCAGCCAAACCCTGACTGTTGTCGGGTCTCTACTGAGACCGTTCGATTCCCAGGCGGTAGGTCCGGGGGTAGTTGGTGGGTGAGTGGGGTTGCAAGGCTGCATGACAGCTAAATGAGATAAGAGATTTCGGTTCACTTAACCCTAACACATGGCAAAGTGCCTGCTAATATAATTTGCTATGAAAACTTCCAAAGCTCCCTCTTAATAAAAAGGGTTCTTTTCAGAGCCTAAAAACGTTTTTTACGGTTGGACTATAGCCAACCCCTACTGGTACAATGTACTCTAGTATCCATTTATAAAAGGCTCCAGGTAGCATCAAATCTAGTTGAAATTGTGATGCATCATTTTCATCATCATTACCACATTAAGCACCTTACACAGTACAAATGTAGGTGAAATTCGCCAAGAGCAGTGAAGAGGCATATGATGAGTATTGTTTCACTACTTCATTCAAGGTGTGGGCATTGTCCATCCCTTAGCCAGACTGAGTCATCTAGGTGCTTAGTGTGATGGTTTAGCTTCTACCGTTTATAAGGCATACTGACACAAAGAACTATTTGGATTATTAGAGAACCATATCGGCGTATACATACATTTTGTTTATTGTACTTCAAATTATGTATACGTTGTGTTTTTCCTATGCAGTTTTCAGGAGATAAAAGTCTTATTTGCTTTGTACTGCTAATAGTACTAGAATTAGTCTTAAAAAAACAGCAGTTCCAATCTTTTTAGTCCTTTAGTCTTTTTTCTCAGACCAGGTACAAGAAAATTGCTTTATAAAATAAAGTTTCACCAAACACTCACACAAGCAAGATGAGATGAGTTGGGTGCAGTTCATTATGCTACATTGGCTGCAAAAATAAATTCAGAAAAACAAATGGTTTCACAGCTATTCCAGAACAAATTGCTTTGCTACTGTGAAGTGGACTACTGAAAATTATTTGTTTCTCTATACTCGTGATTTAAGTCTTTAAGGACAATAAAATTGCCTTCCTCTGTGTTACGATGCAGTTACACACGCCTTCTCATTTACCCTTGAATGAATTTGTAAGAAAGCCTTACAATACTTAATATGCAGATTCCTTTTTGCAGACAGATGATAATTACTGCTGCATTTCTGTTGTGCTCTCTGTCACTGCTCTCATATATTTTCATCCGTGCATCTGAAAATAGATTTTTTTTTTAGTATTTGTGCACATATTTATATTTAGTAACACTGTACAGGCACTGATGGGTGTGTGTCTGCATGCATGTATGTATATGCAGTGGCTGAAAGTATGCATTAACAGTGTCAGCCTGTCATTATCTGCAACAAAGAAATCATCTGCTTTTGTCTTGAAATTTTCTAAAACACAGGCTTTCTGTTCAAGGCCATCTGAAGATAAGCTCCAGTGAGCCGGTGCGAATCTGCTCTCTGCTTTATTCAGAATAAAACCCAGTGCCCTTGCATGAATTCAGCGAACAGGGAAAACAGCTTCATTCACTGACTGATAGGCACATTGTTTTAAAATTATACAGTAAAGTTTGCTTTTTATGGTGTTGCTACATTATTTTTTCATTAATTATCAACTTATTATGGATAGGGTGATAAGAAAAAACAATCAGCACACCCTGATACTGTTCAGTAATTTTTAATACAATCCATGATTTGCAATATTAGAAGATTTATTCAGCAAATAAAAACTGAAGTCTACAAATAACAGATTCGTGTTATGCAGATAACAAGGAGGCTGACAAACCAGAAACATGTTGAAAATATTTCCCCATCATTCAGAGAGGAAGATATAGAGATTAGTTTAATCCATCCTAAAGCAGTGTCTCTCACTCACAGCTCAAACACATATGCAAATAGACCAGCACATGTACAGGTGCATCTCAATAAACTAGAATATCATGATAAAGTTAATTTATTTCAGTAATTCAATTCAAAAAGTGAAACTCATATATTATATAGATTCATTGCACACAGAGTGAAATAATTCAAGCCTTTATTTCTATTAATTTTGATGATTATGGCTTACAGCTAACGAAAACCCCAAATTCACTATCTCAGAAAATTTTAATATTTCATAAGACCAAAACATTTTAATACAGAAATGTTGGCCTACTCAAAAGTATGTTCATATATATGCACTCAATAGCAGCGTGGCATGGAGGCGATCGGCCTGTGGCACTGCCGAGGTGTTATCGAAGTCCAGGTTGCTTTGATAGCGGCCTTCAACTCGTCTGCATTGTTGGGTCTGGTGTATCTCATCTTCCTCTTGACAATAACCCATAGATTTTCTATGGGGTTCAGGTCAGGCGAGTTTGCTGGCCAATCAAGCACAGTAACACCATGGTCATTAAACCAGGTATTGTTACTTTTGGCAGTGTGGGCAGGTGCCAAGTCCTGCTGGGAAATGAAATCAGCATCTCCATTAAGCTTATCAGCAAAAGGAAGCATGAAGAGGTCTAAAATGTCCTGGTAGATGGCTGTGTTGACTTTGGACTTGATAAAACACAGTGGACCAACACCAGCAGATGACATGGCTCCCCAAATCATCACTGACTGTGGACACTCCACACTGAACTAAAAGCAACTTGGATTCTGTGCCTTTCCACTCTTTCTCCAGACTTTGGAGGAAGACCTTGATTCCCAAATGAAATGCAAACTTCACTTTCATCTGAAAAGAGGACTTTGGACCACTGAGGAACAGTCCAGTCCTTTTTCTCCTTAGCCATGGTAAGACGCTTCTGACAGTTGTAAACCATGTCCTAGATACATCTGTGTGTGGTGGCTCTTGATGCACTGACTCCAGCCTCAGTCCACTCCTTGTGAATCTCCCCCAAATTCTTGAATTGTTGTTGCTTCACAATCCTCTCAAGGCTGCGGTTATCGCTGCTGCTTGTGCACCTTTTTCTACCAAACTTTTTCCCTTCCACTCAACTCTCTATAAATATGCTTGGATACAGCACTCTGAACAGCCAGCTTCTTTAGCAATGACCTTTTGTGGCTTACCCTCCTTGTGGAGGGTGGCAATGACTGTCTTCTGGACAACTGTCAAGTCAGCAGTCTTCCCCATGATTGTATAGCCTACTGAACCAGACTTAGAGACCCTTAAAGGCTCAGGAAACCTTTGAAGGTGTTTTGAGTTAATTAACTGATTAGAGTGGGACATTGTGAGTCTACAATATTGAACTATTACCAATATTCTAATTTTCTGAGATACTGAATTTTGGGTTTTCATTAGCTGTAAGCCATAATCAATCAAAATTAAAAGAAATAAAGGTTTGAAATATTTCACTCTGTGTGTAATGAATCTATATAATATATGAGTTTCACTTTTTGAATTGAATTACTGAAATAAATTAACTTTACCATGATATTCTAATTTATTGAGATGCACCTGTATACTGTTAACACACACACACAGACAGATAGACATACATGTACTGTATACATACAAACACCAACTTCCCTCACACTCTCTCTCCGCTTACAAGAGCTGGGAAGCTGCATGTGTCACATGGAGTACAATCTCTGAAACACAAGCAGTTTGGCCCGGGCATGACACGACACTGCCAAGTGTTGTTGTGAAGGAGGAGAGTTGTGAAAAAGCTGATAGTGTGACTGACAGCTCTGCAAAACATGCAAAATAGATGACTAACTGTAGCACCACAAGACATCACAGCAACTCTCATTCATTTGCTGGTCTCTCTGTCTGTTTATCTATTTTCATCTGCTGTATCGGTCTAATTTAGTGGTGAAGGTAAATGACAAAGGTGGCCAGAAGAAATATTACAAAGGGCTCCCTGTAAGGTAATGAAATACTGTCAAAGTAGATATGAATTCATTATGGGACAGAAAAGCACTCTTTATTAAAAACATGTTCATAATAAAGCAACATAATAAACAGTATTTCTATTGAGTGAACAAATAAGTAAAAGGCTCAGTATAGGGGTGACTACTTGTACATTTTCCTAATATTCAGTGTATTTTTTTTTTTCATTTGACTGTTTTGTTTTTATTCTTAATCCCATTTAGACAGATGAGATGACAAAGCTCCATATCAAAGATAAATAAAAAACGTAGTGAAGTGAAGACAATATATGTTCTAATAGCTAATTTATGTCTAATTTATAATGACTCACACTCACTGACCTGCATTTTGCCAAAGGGGCGATATAATTCTCATTACCCTGAGAGGGCTAAACTACTGTGATGTCCACTTCACTGTCCTCACTCATTGACCTGTGTCCTCGATTCAAGCTTGCCTGGATCACTTCATGCGTGTCACAGCTGGGGTTTCACTGCACAAGTGGACGCACACCATGCCTCGTCAGCTCTCGCTACCTGCTTCATGCAGATAGAGGTAATTTAGCTAGCTGGCGAGTTTCCCCCTGAGGACTGAATTTAATGGAACTGGTTCACGCACTCGCCAGATTCAAATGGGGTACAGGTGGTGCATTTTTGTTTGTTTGTTTGTTTGTTTGTTTTATTTCTGTACGCTTAACTACAGGTGTTGCAATGTCGGGTACAGTATATACAGGTGCAGGTGATGATTAGTGACATAATATCCGTTTTATGCTTGCTTCTCATTCATCAAAGTAAACACAGACTTTGTCCATAAAATGCATTAATTATTTTACTGCTGTCAGTGTTTGGTTTGAGTTTTGTAAACCAGCTTTAATTGCTATAGTTAATAAGTACATAACACACATTGGACATATATAAATATAACGTGAGACCGTACAGATGTTTTTGTTCTAGAGATTTTATCTGATGAGCTACTATAACTAACAGGAGCTACTATTCCTATTTTATTCAATGTCTTACTTCTAATTGATGATTCAGTAATTAATTAAATCTCAGAGAAGACTTCTGTTTTTAGATCTATCAGTCTAGTATCAAGATGGAAACCTCCTCAACTTTCTATGGCTCAAATCAGTGATATGAAGGGAAATACAATCGATACTCTGTCCAGTGATTTTGAGAAAGTTAAACTAAGTTGACTGTCAGTGTACACAAATGTTCATACCATTATCAAGATACAGTCTACATTGTTTCTTTTGTGGCAGTTCTTTTGTTCCTTCATATTTATGTATCTTTTATTTATTTATTACCATTTGAGTGTATATTTGGGTGTACACAGTATATATGTATATAGATATTCTCAAATGTAATTCTTTATTAATAATAATAATAATTATTTCTTCATTTGTTTCTTTTGTGTAATTTTGAATAGGGATGGGAGTGGGGCTTAATGACTGGAAGACTGAATAGGCCTTTGCAGTTGATGAATGCTTGTATGCTTGTATATTTATGTTACAGTGACTCATGTTTAGTAGCCTATTATGTAAAGGCTGATAATTCTCTGTCAATCTAATCTCTAGTATTGAAAAATAAAAACTTCATCACAAAAATTCACAAAATCTACTCCTTCTCCCTCAATGAAATATACAAAATCTGTGAATATTCATTCATCATTGTATGTGCACTGGAAGCTTCCAGTTACTGGACCAAACTAGTTGTTGTCACAAAATCATGCTATGGACATGTAAGCACACACATTAAACTCATATTTAAAATGAGCACAGACTAACTTTCCATCTCCAGTAGATAAATGTGAAAACCATCTAGTGTCAAACTCTGTACATACATCATTCTGCACTGTGAGACATCTAAGTGAAGTTAATAAGCAAAACATATTTTGAGTGTACGGGACTTAATGTGATGTTTGTATAGGCTGATGCATTTTATCATCTATTAGTAGCCTACTGTGCTAAAAAAGGATATATTGATCCTTCTTGTAGGTTTGTATATATGTATCTCTTGCAGCTGTTGTGCCCTACACTTAACCTCAAACCTCAAAATGCATTTATTACATAAGCTCCCTCGACTTTAATGCGGTATAGACTTGAACTGAACTGAATCATCTGAATGAAGTCATATCCAAGGCAGCAATTACAAATATCTACACTGTGAATGATTTGCTTCCGGAGAGTTGGTGACATGTGACAGTGCAGCTTATGTACAGCAGCTATAATCTTGTGTCAGTGCTCTGCTGCTGTCAGATCATATGTGAGTATGGAAGGAAAGAAGGTAAAAGGACATTTACAGAGGATGATGAATGCTCCTCTGTAAATGTATTATTATTTTGAGCTTATGTCACATAAAGATATGACTTTCACCATTAAATGTAAGTTTAGTTGAGGTCAAAGGCATCTGTCCACAGAAAGCACGCTTTCCTCTTTGAGTAATGAGTACATTCCAAGTTTATATTATACATTTCAAGTAACCCCAACACAGCTCATATTTTGGTGAGCATGGTCAAGCATGTATTTGGTGAGCAGTGAGTTAGAGAGATTCGGCGGGTATCTGGATCTACATCACCAACACTGGTTTAACGCGACTAATAAAAAAAGCAATAAATGCTGAGTTTATGATAAACAGTCTGAGTTTAAAATGAATGGGTAATTGTTGGTAGTGTCTGTCACTGACAGTTTCTTTCAGACTCCATGAAGGCATTCCCATTCAATTTATTGAGTCCCTTTGAAGGCAGCATGGCTGGTAGTATGTTTGATCCGCGGTCTTTAATTTGAAAGCACTGCATCAAAGCAGATTGTCAGTAAACACACTGATTCACTGTTTATCTCGATTAAAGGATGCAGGGCTTTAAAATGTTTTACTTTGTGGCAGACAGCAATACACATAAGGGTCTTTAAATCAAAGTATAGCAAGACAATCACAAAGCACACATAAAAGTAGTCAGTTAATTCTGCATGTATTGAATACTGTATTCTTGTTTCTACAGTACAAAACTCCATTTGGGAGATGGTGACAATGTGGGGCGCACAGTTGTTTTAAAAGTGAACATCCTGACAACACAACTGCCCAGTCCCACCAATCATGTCCGTGTCCTCATCCAAATCACCACTGTGGGGAACAGCTGCACATAGATCGACTTCTATTGACGTCTGCTATTATCCAGGTATAATGGAGGTTAATGGAGACCTATTGGGCCATCTCAAAATCACAAATTCCAATTTAAGATCCCTTTGGGTCCCTCGGAATTATTGTTGTTTCTCTTCTCCTTAGAATTGCACTTTAGTAGTCTGTTAAAACTTTTGTTTATATATATATATATATATACACATATTTAAATGTGTGCATTCAATAGAACAAATTGGTCTTTTAGCATTATTTTCAATGTCTTTATTTATTTTGTTATTATGTAAATGCATAGTAGCAGACCTGCATGTTTGCCATGTTGGGGAAGTGACTTCAAGTGACTACGTTTTTAATCTGCTTAATCATACCGCATGAAACAGTATGATGTGGTGCTCACACAGATTTTCATACTTCATACTAGTTTAAAATATGTTTTGACAACAGCCAGAACTTCCATTATGGAAATGTACAAACACTTAAAATTAATTAACCTGCTGTGAGCTCCCTGAGTTGGAGCACTAATCTATTTGCAAAAAATCCTAGAAAGTGTGTAGCTTGGGAGAAACTCAGAAGAGGTCAGAGTATGCATAGTATTGCCTTCATTGCATATTGCAGCTTAAGGGTCTATTTTATTTTTAAAAATTAAGATGAGACTCAGGGATGTGAGTCTTTACACAAAAGAAGGAAACAAATCCAGATATGAGATATTGTATAACAGGAAATAGTGTATTTATCTGGGGATAGTGTTGTAAGTGGTTATATTTTACTTAAAGCTTCTAAATTAAATATAATTATTGAATCTGAATCTGACACATGATCTGCATCATTTACTTCAAATAAATCTGTTTGCCTACAGCAACTGCCAGGAGAGAAGCAGAAGTTGTTATCTCTCACTAAATCCACTAAATCAAAAGATCCACATGATATTTTGAGTTAATGAGAGTATTTATTTAAACATTCAACATAGAAGGTGGGTAGCTGGATATAATGAAGTGCCTGACACACAAATGTTACAGTTATTAGGGTCACTAAATCGTGCTGTTAAAGGGGAAAGGTGCTGTCTTCAGGAATTAAAATTTAACTCCCATGGAGAAGAAGCAAGATTAGATGCCCCCCTGAAGAAAATATCAGGATCAAAAACAATTTCATGAGCAAATTATTTTTGTCTTTCGAAACTGCATGGCCCCTTAGCACTGGGAAACATAAGCTGCCAATACACAGCAGCCACATATCCACAGCTAATGAAGTTGTTCTGGCAAATGTGTTGGCAAAATATGCCAATGTGCACATTATTGTTAATTTGTGTTCTGGCCACCTGATGTGTGAGGTGTGATAATCAGTTTTATTTTAGTTCCGTTTTGATCCCACCAGCAATTAAGAAAAAAATGTCTCAGTCTTTAGCTTGACAGATGCTTGAATGTGTTCACCAACTAAGTGTTAACTTTTTCTGTTGGTTGTTCAGGGCTGGTGGCGCACAGCGGAGGTTTGTCAGATCTTGTTGCTAAAAAAGTTGTAACACCTTTTGGCACAACTGCATCATGGGAAGCCAGGCTGCTTTGGCTGCTGGTCATTCCTGTTCACACTGTAGACCATCATCACCTCTGATACTGAAGAAGTCTGGCAGTGGAGGGTGAATATTGCAAAAATGTTGATGTCTTTCATATCTGTTCGGAGCGCATTATCTGTGCATGTCTGAATAAATGTACTTGAATGTATGGTGTATTCAGGGGTTGTTGTTTTTTTTGTAAGGAATTGGCTGGTTTGATAAGAGAGACTATGATTCAAACATTGCAAACATCCTAAAATCCAAAAATGAGATTCTAAAAAGCTCCAAGCAGCTGCAGACGTGACTGAAAATTCTCTGTCCAACTGTACCTCACACACTCCAACACCTACAATATTTATGCACATACTTGTACTTAGGTGTATGGAAGCAGCAGTTTTTAATATTTTGAGTAAACATTGTGCTTCATTTAAAAACGCCACATGCATTATGTGCCTCACACACACACACAAACACACACAATTAGCCTAAATACTGACATAATCATCACCTCATGCATAGTTCCTCAAATCAGCGGGAGCTAATATCCCCAATGTTCACTTATTTCCACAAGAGGTAACGAGGGCACCTTAGTGTAAATGGACAGAGTGGAGGCAATGAAGCAAATGGCCAAACTGATGGGAGCTCCATGTGAAAAAAACATGCAATTTCCAGTGTCCTTTAATGGTACGTCTACTCTTATTCCACTACTGCAGTCTTGTTCCGTTTTACACAGACATCAAGCAAACATGTTTCAGAAGTCCGGTTGTCCTTGAATACAACAACAGGAATATGGGTTGAGCTGCAAATGGACCCATCCCTTGAGTAAATCTCCTTGCAGTTGTTTGGTGCAGATCAAGGTTATACTGGCAGAGGTCACGCCCTCATTCTGAGGGAAATACATTTTTTAATTAAAATGATATCGGAAAAAGTACAAATCCAGGATAGGAAGTGGGCAATAAAAAAAGAAAATAAGCAGTTTCTTAGCATACTTTCTGTATATGATTGTTCTAGGTGGATCTATGTGTGTGTGAGAGAAGCGGGAGGAAGAACTTGATGCAAATGAACTGTCATGTATTAGTGGCATGTTCATAGAAAAAAAAAAAAAGATAAAACCTAAAACGGTAAATTAAATTACTGAATTTTTTTTTGATACAGTGTGCTGCTGACTCAAGCTGCATGTTCTCCACTGCTGGAAACAGATGAGAGATTAAAACCTGCAAGGTGAGAGAAAAGCGTTGAGTGCAGCATCCTGCAGTTTTAGGACTGAAATATTCTTGAGAATGACTTTAAAATAGCTGCAGGGGTTGAATACATCACAAATTACCAATTGAATTATGTTATCAGGTGGTGAGATTACTGGCTTTCAAATCTCATTTTTTCAGCAGGTATTGAGTCCAGGAACAAACCCCTGTCCATTAGCCTTCGCTCAGCTCACCGCTGGAAGCTGATAACACTGAAAATGCTCTTAACATAGATGAAAAGCCATGGTCATGCAGAAGGCCTCAGACATTCCTCTAGGTGTGTTAGTATGTTTTTGCTTTTTAAAAAAAAATGTAAATTGAGGGTAAGTGTAATTTAAATATATATATATATATATATATATATATATATATATTCCTTTAATAAAAGTATGACTGTGATTAACTTAAGACAGTGAGATAAAATAAGTGTACACCCCATGATTTCTAGAGCCTTTATGTACAAATGGTCTTGATTTTTTCCTTTTAGTCCCTCATCTTGGAGTGATGAATTTCTAAGTTACTGTTTTGTAAGTCAGTGGTTGGAATCTGAAGACTTCTGATCCTTCCATCTTGGTTGAAATATCACTAAAAATTAAGGGCTTGCAAATATAAACATGATGCAATGCTATGTATTGCTTATTTTTCCCCCCTTGTTCTTCGGATTCAGCTCTACCACTCTTTAACACCATGACTAAAGGCATTCGATCATTTCAGTTCTTTTTTGTGAAGTTTCACTTGATAAAATGTCAGTTTTTTGATGAAAAGTTTTGTTTTTATACTGAATGTTTTAAGGAATGGATTAATATTGAACTGATTAACATTAAGTATGAGACGGATTAAGGAAATACAGTAAGAGAAGACACGATCTCATTGATTCCAGGTCTGTAAATTCGCATTACTGCAGTTCAAGAGGTAAGTACTCATAAGAAAAATGTGCTAAATATAATAACTAAGTCAGGTACAGTAATAGTGACTTGAATTGGCCACTAAATTGGTGGGGACTTGTAGTGGAGTGAATGAGTATGTATGAGTCACAGCTTACACTGCAAAGAAATCACATTTTTCAACAAGTGAAAAATTTGCCTGTTGGCTAAAAGGATTTGTATGTAGGCTTATTTGCATCTGTGTCTCTTATCCCCATACTACATCTCCATTTTGCAACATAACCTGTTTTTTTTTTCCATATGTATGATGATGATAATGACGTATCACCAAGGGACACAAACTAACTCAATAACTCTGGCAAGGAAATACATTTCTGCAGACTGCAGCCATCCCCAAACGTGCAACGGACTATAGAGGACATACGATCCATAATAAATATTTGAATTACCAATTAAAACTAGTGAGCACTGACAATTGACAGTGGTTTTCACAAAAAAAGGTATTTGTAACAATGCACTTAATACTTGCTATTTCTTCTTACTAAAAGCTGAAAAGCTTGGTCAAAAAACTGAAATTAATTTATTTATTTTGTATGTTTTTAACAACGTGAGCAATCAGTTAACAGGAGCATGCAACATTTTTTACTGTATCTTATGCGTATCTTTGTAGATAAAAAATTTGGAGATATGGGAAAAATACTAAATTGTTATATTTTATTATATATATTATTTATTTACCTCACAATTTTACTTTGAACTTATCAGGAACTTATCACTGTTGCTTCTAGGCTTCCATATCAGAACTTGTGAATTGACAAAGTTAGAAAGATTATTTCACAAAACACTTTATGTCATAATTTAAGTCAATTACAGATTCCTCTAAAATGATTGTGACAACGATTTAGTGATTAGTTGAATTGTAAATAAGATAAAAGGGAAGTCAGTTAATGACTGCTTCTTGTAAATCAAACTATGACAAACCCAACCCTTTCTGGGCAGAAGTTTCACAAAACGTTATAGATACGGAAATGCTTATTAAGTTAAAACCTCTTTCCTAAAATAATGCTATCAAATGCCTAATCGATTTCTTCTTCCACTGACTCAACCCAAACCTTTATTAGTTTACCAAATTCATGTAATGCAGCGTGCCTTGGATTTTCTGTTGATGATGTTTGAGCTAGAGTAGCTATATATATTCCAAATAAACACAGAGTTTAAATAAGATTTTATAAACTGGATTTGCTGTAGTTGTTTAGCAGATGTGTATAACACAGAGATCAAAAAGAGGTTTATTTAATGCTGTGCATAATGAAGTGTCTCGCCAGTACAAACCTACCAGAATGACATTCAGAGTATTTGCTATCGAACCAATCTGTCACTTGCTCATACAGAAATCAATCTGAGGATGCACTATATGAGTGTGGCTCCTTTCCAGCATAGATTAAGAGAGTGATAATTGGGCCTAAAAAAGCTCAGGGGAAAAACTTATAGGAGATCTAGTTTGGCAGAAAGCAAAACAGAGAAATCTCTAGGGAACACAACATCACTAGACGGAGGTACCCATTTTCATCTATATCTTTGTGTGTCTTATAAACACACACACACACACACACACACACACACACACACACACACACACAACACTTATCAATTAGAGGTAAAAAGGTGGATACAATTTACAATTACCAAGTTATAACCACAAAGTGCCAAATAAATACTCATGCAAACATTTCCCTGCCTGCATCTACAACCCTCCCACACAACAAAGTTAACAGCTTTGAAAGTAACTGGAATGTGTCGTTGAGGTCACTGCAAATTCTCATGGGATGAGTAATGGACAAGTGCCGCACAATCAAATACATTTTTACAACACTCGTGTGAATCAGTCGAGGCACTAAAACTGGGCGCATCACTTTTTGCAACATCAAGATCAAGTGCTTCTCATTTTTGGAGCATTCAGAATTTTTTCAACCCTCAATGGTCGATGAACTCCCGAATTGACACACGACTCGTCCCCAGCTGAAACTGAGCTGAAATGGAGCCACAAGCAGGGGGAGTTAATAATTGGAAGTCAATCCTAACCTGAACAGTGGTGAGCCACTGGGAAAGGCCTCTGTGAAATTTGCATTCAGACCTGTTGGCCTTTTAATAAGAGAGCACTGAACTTCTTTTTAGAGTGCGTTGCTTATCTGCCGTTTAAGGCTGGTCTTGCTACAATGTGCCCCTGAGTCCTGTCTGGATCCCAGACTCACCAAGCAATAACCAAACATATTAGCTCTGGTCTCTGACATACATTCAGTAAATAAATCTTCAGTGTTCTGTGCTTGTTGAAATGGCACAGCACATAAATAGAAACGTCATCAGAGTCACACAAAGAAAGGACAATCTACCCTTCCATTACAGTTTTGTATCGAATAATCAAAGTAAAGAGTTGTAATTTCACACATTAGTTTTCATAGATGTCAGGTTTGTGGACCTTTGTGTGCATCTTATTTGAATGGCTATTTTACATCAAGGCATATGCTCTATGTAGGCAGAGCGAGTGATGCACATCGACACAAATTGATTTTTTTTGCCATAGCAACTCAGCTTTAAGGATGGTGATGTTGGTTAGTGAGTCTATCCTTCAAAAGCAGCAGTAAAGTTAATCCTTTCTGCGTTTGGAAGCAGCTGTCAGTATCCACAAGCCACAAACAGTAGTTGTTGTGTGGTTCTGATGGTTATCTATCATTAATAAATATACCAGAACTTGACAGATGGGGAAAGCAATTGTAACTAAGATGTAAATATTGAGGCAAGCTGTGGTGCAATTTACACTGGGGAAACCTGCTACACAGGTCTATAGTACATTTTGGCATCTGTGGACCAGCTGTGGACGTGTAGATTCTGGACGTGTTCCACACATGTACAGTTGTAACTGAATGAGCAAGTGGCAGTACATAAAAATGAAATTCCAACAGCAGCAAAATTACAATGTGAGAAGGTTAAACTAATGCCTAATTAATCTAATCTTTAAACTACATGCAAGACTTACATACAAAAGCATACA